CGAGCTGACATACGCAGGATAGGAAGGAACCGACTAGGTGAAGATGCAGGAAAGGACCTTCGTGCAGAGAGACCAGTGTGTACAGAGTTTCTGTGGCTGGAGGGTACCTGGTGCTTACTTGGAACAGAAATGAGTCCAGGATTGCTTGAGCTGAGTGTAACAAAGACAATGAGAGAGATGGACAGAAGAAGCAGCCAGACCCCGTGGGGGCACTGCGCTAGAAGCTCACGCTAAACACATCCTCACTGATCCCAAGGCTGAGAAACCACAAGAGTGTGCTACGCAGAGAGGCGACCTAAACTGACTTGCATCTTGAAACGATCCCTTTGATTGCTTCGTGGGGAACAGCCAGGAGGGCCAAGCCCGGAGTCAGGTGGAAGGAGCATAGCCTTGTTTATACGAGAGATGATCAGGATTTGAATTAAGACGGTGACTGAAGAAGTAGAAAGAAGTGAATGTGAGAAACAGTTCAAACATAAGATTGTCAAGGTTTGGGTTGGAGTTGATGAGGGGGAAGGAGGTATGAAGAAGGACCTTAAGGTTCGGCTTGCCCAGCCAGATGGCGGGGTCACTCTCTGAGCAGGGAGTCCAAGAAGCCTAGTCGTCTGTAAAATAGCGGTAAACTTGCCAATCCTGCTTCCCTCGTGCGGTCGCTGCCAAGCCCCAATGAGATGAATGTGTGACAATGCTTTGTGGATCGTGTGGTTGCAGACCTGTAAGCTATTATTATTTCCCCACCTACTGTCGTTAAGGGCTCAGTAGTGCCCTGCAACCAAATCTTCTAAGGAAATCTAAGTTCTCACTGAGAAGCAAACAAAACAAGTTCATTCCATCTTGGCAACAAGCAGAAAATCAGATGGAATAAAATCCTTGGGAGAGAAAAACGTCTTTTGCCAGAACTGCAGCCCACGCAGGAACTTTAAGTTCCAAGCCTCCAACTCAGCCAAAATCTCTTCCATTTCTAGCTCTTCTTGTCGTTGGAAAAGGCAACACAGTGAGTGAGGGAAATGTCCCTTCCTAGGAGACTTTCTGAACCTTTTTTGCTCTTGCCAAATAATATCGTAAATGACCCCCAAGTGATTCAGAAATGAGGAGACTTCGCTGGCTTATCGATACCATCAATGCTTCATGCAACATGTAGTATGGATTTTTCCTCCTCTTTAAGGAGACATCTTCCTGTCTTTCCTGCCTTGGAATAAAATGCATTTTATAGATGTCAGGGTGTCTTCTTCTTTCACAGATTAGGGCAGTTCTGAGGATGTTCAAGGGTACACATATCACCACTAGATGGCAAGTCTCAAATTTCCAGTTAGGTTTATCAGCTGCACAGAAAAGTCCCCAAGTCTCCAATGTACCTTGTGAGTCCTCTGGTACCTGATGCTTCAAGAACAAAGTCCATACCCTGTAGCATCACATCAGTGAGCCTTCAGGCTCTGACTCTGACTTTCCTTTCCACCAGCTGCTGTTTCTCACCACTCTCCACGGTTATCGATACACTGTCCTCTGACTGTACAGAAATACTCCTTATCACCCATCTGTTGATCCACTGTCAGATTCCTTGGCTTCTAGCTAACTTCATCTCACTCGCCCAGATTCAGCAGAAGCATCTGCCATTTTTGGGTTCTCTGAACGGGCCAAAGTCATTCTCCACGCTGGGTCGTCGCAGTAGCTCTTCCCATGGGCTGGCATGCTCTTCTCTCGTGTGTACACTTGGTTGACTCCTTCTATCCACAAAGATTTTAGCATGAATGTTTCTCTGAGAGTCCTCTTCAAGGACTGCTGCTTCTCGTTGTCCATGTTGTGCACTACACAACTTCAGGGGAGGGGGCGCTGTTCCCATCACAGTTCGTGCTCATGGTACGTGTTAGAGTTGGACAGGCATGGTCAGCAGGGCCATGCCAGGGGGCCCTTGTCACCTCTGATGTGCACTCTGATGCCCTTCTCACCCAATCCTGGTCATTTTATATTTTTTTCACCCTTTCAGATTTTTCCCACTGTACCTAACATTATCCAAAATAATTTCATTGAATTATTTATTTACTTCTTTACTGTCTACCTGCTCAGAGTAGACTGGAAGCTGCACGAGAGCATACATTGTGACTTTCTGCTTCACACTGTGGCCCCAGTGCCTGGAAGAGTGCCTGGGAGATCCTAACTGCTCGATAAACGTGTCTTAACTCCAAGGACTGAAATGTAAAGGGGCATCAGAAAAGACAGTAATCAGGAACTGAAAAGTCACAGCGTGTGCATCCTAAGTCACTTCAGTCGTGTCTGACTCTTCGAGACCCCATGGACTGTAGCCTGCCTGGCTCCTCTGTCCATGGAATTTTCCAGGCAAGAATACTGGAAGAAGTTGCCATTTCCTATTCCAGGGGATCTTCCTGATGCAGAGATCAAGCCAGCATCTCCTGTGTCTGTCTCCTGCATTGGCAGGCAGACTCTTTAGCACTGCACCACCTGGAAAGCCTAAAGACTACAAAGAGGGACCAATAAAAGATGTCAGACCTCTGGACCCAAACACAGTGAAGGTGCTTGAGTGAAAAAAGAAAAATAATTGTTAGAAAAGATGAAACTTGAGAAAATGATCAAGATGCTGAAATGAAGATTATCACAACATTCCCGGATGGAGACACTTGGCAAATGGATGGTTGTAATCCATTTTCCCAGTCGATGGAGCTTGAAGCCTTGAGAGAATGTGTTGTAAATCCTCCAAACACCCCCAACCATTACCCTATTAGTGCCTTGGTGTTTCAGTGTGCTTGGAGACATCTTTTCAACGGAAAGATCACTAAAAAATGAGAGCTCTGAGCAGCCTGTAAGATCTGAGGAGGCTCAAGTGCTTAAGTGGTTCTGGCTGCAATCAGCAGCTGCAGAGATGCCTGGAATCAGACAACAAAATTAATTGAACAGTGGAGAATTGACAGAGAATGGAGAAGAGGCACAGAATAGGTGACCTAAAGAAATACCAATGTTTGATGAAAATAATGATGCATTTGTTTGCTCACAAAGGGTAGGGGCTATATCATATGTGCTTCTTCTTCCTTTTATTTTTTTTGTCTCTAATAGCAGTTCTTATGATGCTGGGCTCAAGGGAGGCATGACTGTATGTTTGTGAAAGGAATGTTCATGTTGGAATGGATGTGAGTAAGAGTAAAGGATTAGTTGCTCAGTTGTGTCTGACTCTTTGCAACCCCATGGACTGTAGTCCACCAGGCTCCTCTGTCCATGGAATTCTGCAGACAAGAATACTGGAGGGGGTAGCCATTTCCTTCTCCAGGGGATCTTCCCAACCCAGGGCTCAAACCTGGGTCTCCTGAATTGTGGGTGGATTCTTTACTGTCTGAGCTACCAGGGGAGCCCCTCCTGTTGGAATAGTGGTGCTTAATGTGGTCACAGGAGATTCTCAACTCTGCAGAGCCTTTCTCTGCAACTGTTTTTCTGGGGGGCAAGAGGATGGTGTCTGGTGTTTCTCTTTGGCTAAGCTGTGATTCTCTAGGGTTCCCTCACACTGAGAAAAATTCTATTTGTGTGTGCTCTTAAAGTCTGAGGATCTTGGATAAATCCAATGAAGCTTCTTTTAACAGTATTGACCTTGGAAACTGTCTCAATTCTCCTTGGAAATGCTGTAGGAGACCTTGATCATCTTCAGGATAAAGTCCGGAGGAGGCCAGCCAGTGCTCATCACACTGTGTCCTTTGGCAAACTCCTCCAGCTCAGCTCATGGCCCTTCTCAGTTTCACACCGGGAAGTTCCCCAAGCGCCTGTGCTTCCTCTAGCCTCCGAACTTGCTCATTGTTTCCCCGCTTCCGGGAAGGTTCCACCTCCTCCCTCACCAGCCCCACGGCACTCGCTCCTTTGGGATTCAGCTCGTGTGCCTGTGCCTCACTGTGTCCTCGTCAGCTCCTCACTTACACCTCGTCACAGCCCTCATCGTCCTAGGCTCTGATTCCTCCTTCCCTCCCAACCTGTGTTAGAGGCTGCGGGAGGACTGCACTGCAATTTTGAGCATTCCTATCCCCTCAGTTCATATGATCATGCCTTATAAGTATTCAATAGGTTGTTTGTTGAGAGAATAAATGAATGAGTGAGGTAATGGGCTAAAGGTCAATCCCAGAACATGGTATAAGAACATTTTTATGTTAAGGACATCATAGTCTTTTTTTTTAACTTTGTGTTTTATATTGGAGTATAGCCGATTAGCAATATTGTGACAGTTTCAGGCGGATAGCAAAGCAACTCGGCCTATACATGCATGTATCTACTCTCCCCCAAACACTTCTCCCATCTAGGCTTCCAAATAATACTGAGCAGAGTTCCCGATATAGTAGGGATACAGTAGCTATACAGTAGGTCCTTGTTACATTTTAAATATAGCAGTGTGCATATGTCCATCCCAAACTCCCTTTCTATCCCTTTCCTTCACCCTTCCACCCGGTAACCTTAAGTTCATTCTCTAAGTCTGTGGAAGGACTCCATACTTTTAATTTCCTGTTTGATAGACTCTGCTGAATCTCTATGATTGAAGTCACACTCACAATCTCTGAAATTCATAGCTATTGTCAGAGCTTATAGGAGAGAATTAGAATCAGCTTGAAAGGCAACATGGAAGCATCTTAGAGAGGCTACAGGGAAACCTCATGAGCAAATGGAGATGCTTCCTCCGTGACTTCCTTTTTGACCCTGGACCCAGGCTACGATATTGATGATACTGAGGAAACATTCAAAATAAAGAAGTAGTCTATCTTGCTCCTCCTGTCAATGCTTGTCATTCATAATATATAAATCTTGAGAATTCCCTGGTGGTCCAGTGGTTAAGATTCTGTGTTTCCACTGCAGGGTGCCAGGGTTCAATCCCTAGTCAGGGAAATAAGATCCCACAAGTCACATGGCCTAAAAATTTTAAAAAGTCCATAATATACAAGTCAAAAACTTCACATACTGCAACCCTTGTAATCTGGGGGAGGACGGGTTGTGTTGGGGAGGGTCCTATCCCAGCTCACATGGAAGTCTTTTCTCCTACAGAGGAAGTCAGTGTCAAGCACCGGGGTATCCTGGGTTTAGAGCTAGTTATGGAAGAAGGGGAAATGGTGAGTGTGGAGATGAACAGATGGACGGACATAAGAATGACATGTGCAGGCGTGCGTGTATGGGTACATATATGCATAGACTGGAGAAAGAACCGGGGCAGAGAAGGAGAGTGGGAGGGACGCTGAACTGTGGGACAGCTGATTGTACTTAGTATTTCTTATATTGGGGACAAATATATATATTTACCAAGGGATGAGGGAAGACATCGTTTGTCCTCGTTATCTGGGGAAACATGAAAAAAAGCAACGATGGCCCTTTTTACAGAAACCAAGAGTATTATTAACTTATCTTCTGGGACTCAGGTTAACAGGGTTGGGGCAAAATTGTCTGCGGCCCAGGGAAATGACTAAATCTTAATTAGTGCTTTGAAATTTAAACTCAAGACACAGGGAAAAGTTTGGAATTAGGAGTCAGGTTTCCCTAGATAGACAAAAGAGAGTGGAACAGAGTTTTTCCGAAGAAGAAAAACCAAAGGACAAATAAAGTAGGGGACCATTTTTTGCTCGTGCTTGGGGAAGGAGTGCTGGCAGGAGACACTGCCTGGCTAAGGAGTTCCGAGGATTGACCTCGGATCTGTCAGAGAAGCTCTGGGTTCAAGTCCCAGAGAGGCTACTCACTAACAACACGGTGGAGGCGGGGTGATTTATTTAACCTCTGAGTCTGAATGTCTTCATCTGTAAACAACGTTCCCTTTGTGATGCCTAAATACAGCGTTCAGTTCTGACTAGGTGCACCCACTGACCAGTTAGCCTGGGAGAGGAAGCCAGGAAGGCTTCCAGCAGAGGTTCAGTTAATTCAGAGCTGAGTTTTAGGAAGACAGGAGTGGCAGACTTGACGCTCTGGAGCAAGACTGTAGCTTCCAGTTGCCTGCCCTTCTCTGAATCCCGTTCAACTGGCGTGTCCAGGGCCTCCATGAGCTGACTCACCCTCCCCTGCCTGGAGCCTGTGCGACTGAGTCTTCAAGGATAAAAGGCAGCCCTTCTGTTTCGAGATTTGTTTTTTTTTTTTTTTTCCCCTCAACAGATGGGCAAGCTCACTGCCTGGAGTCTTTAAACAATGTGCTGTCAGCTATTAGACATTTTCCACAGTGCCATTTTTTTCTCTCCTATTGCTGATAGGTAACCTCAGACCTTCTAAGAGTGGGGTCAGGAATTTCACTGTGACAAGCCCCTCAGAGGCCTGTCTGAATGCACACTGGGGAATAATCAAAGGAAATGCTTGGACTAAAAGGGCTCCAAAGCTGAGAAAGTTCTAGAGAACAGGAACTCCCCTGGGTTTTACGTCCCTGTAACCTGCATCCTGACAAAGGGTTAGCTTGCAGATGGGGAGAAATGTCCACGGTGGAGGTCCCTCCAGCCGTCCATAGATTTGAGACCCTTCCCACTGGCTGTAACTGTGCTCATGTTTTGTTATGCTGGCATCTCTGCTGAACACATGATGAGTACAAGAAATGGGCTGGGTTCTGATGTTTTGAAGGTAGATGAAGGTGAAAGTCCTGCTTGTTTAACTTATATGCAGAGTACATCATGAGAAATGCTGGGCTGGAGGAAGCACAAGCTGGAATCAAGATTGCTGGGAGAAATATCAATAACCTCAGATATGCAGATGACACCACCCTTATGGCAGAAAGTGAAGAAGAACTAAAGAGCCTCTTGATGAAAGTGAAAGAGGAGAGTGAAAAAGTTGGCTTAAAGCTCAACATTCAAAAAACTAAGATCATGGCATTCGTTCCCATCACTTCGTGGCAAACAGATGGGGAGACAGTGGAAACAATGGCTGACTTTATTTTTTTGGACTCCAAAATCGCTGCAGATGGTGATTACAGCCATGAAATTTAAAGACACTTACTCCTTGGAAGGAAAGTTATGACCAACCTAGATAGCATATTAAAAAGCAGAGACATTACTTTGTCGACAAATGTCCACCTAGTCAAGGCTATGGTTTTTCCAGTGGTCATGTATGGATATAAGAGTTAGACCATAAAGAAAGCTGAACGCTAAAGAATTTATGCTTTTGAACTGTGGTGTTGGAGAAGACGCTTGAGAGTCCCTTGGACTGCAAGGAGATCCAACCAGTCCATTCTAAGGGAGATCAGTCCTGGGTGTTCATTGGAAGGACTGATCTTGAAGCTGAAAGGCCAGTACTTTGGCCACCTCATGTGAAGAGCTGACTCATTTGAAAAGACCCTGATGCTGGGAAAGATTGAATGCAGGAGAAGAAGGGGACGACAGGGGATGAGATGGTTGGATGGCATCACCGACTCAATGGACATGAGTTTGGGTAGACTCTGGGAGTTGGTGATGGACAGGGAGGCCTGGCGTGCTGCAGTTCATGTGGTCACAAAGAGTTGGACACAACTGAGCAACTGAACTGAAGGCGAAAGGTTGTCCTTCCATCTCCACAGTTTAGACTTTTTCCCCAGTGGCTCAGTGTTAAAGAATCCATCTGTCAATGTGGGAGATGCAGGTTCGATCCCTGGGTTGGGAGGATCCCCTGGAGGCAACCCATTCCAGGGTTCTTTTCTGGGATATCCAATGAACAGAGGAGCCTGATGGGCTACATTCCATGGGGTAGCAAAAGAATGGGACACAGCTTAGCAACTAGACAACAACAAAGAGACAGACACACAAACCTGTGAACACAAAATCCCCTCGGCACTAACTGTGCTCATCTTTTGTTATGTTGGCATCTATCAGTGATTGATAAAACCACCCGCCTGGATGCCCAAACAGGAAATGCGGTCATCATCTCTGACACCTTTCTGGATGGCGGGGCAGCCATCTGCCCATGACATTCCCCTTGGGAAGGGGCAGTGTTTTTGGAAGACGGGAGATGCTACTCACTACCCCCACTTTGTTGATGTGGCTATAAGATGGAGTGTTTTTTTAGTGTTCTCAAGGGACGGTTATTTGCACATGACAAATCACTCACAGGTTACTCTGGTTTTAAGGTTTAACACTGAGTTTATTAAATTTATTAAACAAAGTTGTGTTCTTTCTCAAGGTTTTAAGTTCAGTTTATAAATCTTATTTTATTTGTAAAAGCCTGGTGAAAATTAACAATCACATCTAAGGAGACTTTGAATAATACCTAACCTAATTTATAAACTTAAGGATTTTCAATTGTCTTTATAATCTTGATACATTCTATTTTCAGTACTTTGTGCAATTAACAAACAAAATTTCCCAAGTATTCAAGTATTATAAATCTAATAGATTACCTTAAACTCATAAGCATGATGATTCTTATGATATCATAAATGCTCAAGTGCTGTACATAAATCTAGTAAAAATTCAACTTAAAACAGCAAGTCTAAATCAATTCTTAAATTACTCACTTCAATTGTGATCACAAAGTTTAACTGCTATCCCAATAAAACAAACTCTCTTAAATACAAAAATTTCTATATGAGTTACTCCCTCCTTTTATAATAATACAGTCACTTTTTTAAAAACAAATTGAAGGTTTCTGTCAACCCAGTGTCTATCATCACCATTTTTTTCAATAGTATTGGCTCATTTTATGTCTCTCTGTCACATTTGGATAATTCTCATGATATTTCAATTTTTTCATTTCATTTTTAAATTATTATTATATTTGTTATAGTGATTTGTGATCAGTCATCTTTGATGTTACTAATGCAAAAAGATTAAGACTAGCTGAAGGCCAGATGTTGGTTAACATTTCTTAGTCATAAAATATTTTTAAATTAAGGTATGTACATTTTTTAAAACATAATACTGAAAGAAGAAGTCCCATGGACTGTAACCCACCAGGCTCCTTTGTCCATGGGATTCTCCAGGCAAGAATACTGGAATGGGTAGCGGTTCCCTTCTCCAGGGGATCTTTCTGACCTCAGGACTGAACCCAGGTCTCTTGCTCTGAAGGCAGATTCTTTACCATCTGAGCTGCCACACTTAATAGACTACAGGATGGTGTTAGCATAACTTCTATATGCACTGGGAAACCAAAAACTCTGTGTGATGCACTTGATGTGATATTCACTTCATTGTGGTAGGCCGGAAGCAAACCTTCAACATCATTGAGGTCTTCCTGTAATTAATTAATAAAAACTATGCATAAATTTTTTTGGTAAAAATGTATACAAATAATTGGGCTTCCCAGGTGCCTCACTGGTAAAGAATCCATCTGTCAATGCAGGATACACAGGAGATGTGGGTCGGGAAAATCCCTTGGAGTAAGAAATGGCAACCCACTCCAGCTTTCTTACGTGGAAAATGGAGTCACAGAATCAGGAATGACTGAATTACTTAGCTTGCATGCACATACAAATAATTACATAAATGTATACACTAACATGTTAACAACTATTAACTCTGGTTGGTCGCATTTCAGCTGAATTTTATTTTCTTGTTCAAACCTTTCTTCATTTTCAAATGAATATGTATCTCTCCCTGTTTTTTAAATAAACCAAGGAGAGATATAATTGGAAAAAAAAAAAAGCAGGTTGTGTCTATTCTCGGATAAATTCTGTGCTGGAGCCCCATCCTGAAGAGTGGTCCCTGGGTACCTAGACCCTCAGGGTAGACTTTATCATGGGCAATTTGGAGCCTGGATTCATTTAATCATTGCAGCAGGCCTCAGGGGACTTGTAATTCATGAATCTATTTGGGCAAAGACATTTTCAACATCAGGCTCTGAAATGTATTATTATTATTTTTTAACAAGGAGAGGAAATTTATACCTAAAGCCATCCTCCATAGTCTGAGCTTTTCGGACAATCATGCAAATTTAAGTTTAAGTGAAGAAAAGTATAGATTAGAAGCTCTTCTCTCCAGGTCTGGTGGACAAGCTCTCTATGACTAAGGAACTGATTGCCTGACTAAGTAACTGCCTGATGAGCTGAAAGACCCATGAATAAATGAATAAATACATGAATGCAAGCAAATTAGTGACTAGTTTTGAAAACCAGAATAAATTAGTGAATGGATGAGTAAAAATAGCTAATTAATGACCTAATGACTGACTGGCAGAAGCA